CTGATTCCCGTTTGTGTGATGTGATCAACCGGATCACTGGTACCCACACATACGCTACGTTTTGGGTCAGTGATTACTCTGTGGTCGGGGTGAGATGCCTGTTGACACAGTGCATGTGTCAGGAATCATCATTTCTAAGATATTGAGTTCTTTCCCATGCCCACACATCTTGTTTTACTTGGAAATTTTTTAGTTGCAATCCTAATCGAGAAATAAAATGATGCCTATAAATGTATGCATCATGCTGGTGATATCACTTGTTTGCTCTGGGCTTGCCAGGTTGTCTCTGTCTTCTTGTAACCACAGAAAGTGAGTCATGGTTGTGGCATGTGCAGAAAACCTAGGGATGCATTTCTGCAAGCCTTTGTATCAGAACCTGTCATGTTTGTCATGACTGGCAGCTCTGCGCCGTGTCCAGCAAAAACATAAAAATAGACTTGCAAGTGGAAATGCCACTGGAGTTGGTTTCGTGCCTTTTCCTTCTTCGTATCAGAAAGGTGAAAAGTCAGTATCCCTGGAAGAGGGCGGGACCTGCTTGCTCCAGGTCCTCTGCTTCAGGAGAGCATCCGAGCTCATCACATCTGGCAGCCATGTCCCAAGAGGGGCAAAGCCTTTGTCTCTCCCCGCAGAGTGCTCATAAGTCTTCCCCTCCAAAAAGAGGAGCTGCATATGTGGTGGGGGAAGAGGACAGAGGGCGCCGAGTGCCTTTCCTCGTTAGCAGCATGGGTCTTTCCACCTGGGGAGCTCTTTGGGTAGCAGCAGAGATAGAGTGGGACACATCCAGCCACCTGGGAAGCCGGAATTTGACACGGTGACCCGGCATCCCTCACATAGGTCTGCAGAGGTGACAACCAGGAACTATGCATTTCTAAGTACGTCAGGTCTCCTTAGACCTTCGTACATGATGCAGAAATAATGAAGGCTGCAAGCCTGATTTGTTTGTCCTTATTAACTCTCAGCCAGCTGTAAGCCATGGCCGCCTTTGTGCAAACAGCAGGAGAAACACCAGACTCTCTCCTCTCTGGCTAATTTGGCTGTTACCCCTCCTCCTAACAAACCTTTTGGAAAGTTTTTTGACATGGACTATCTCAAAACCAACATTTCTTTACTGCAGTCAGTTGGAAGTCAAGACCTAGGAGATGCTTGCACGTGTGCAGAAAGCATAGGCAGTGTTTTATGTGGTGACGCTCACTTCTAAGGTGGAAAAATGTAAATGAGGGTTGTAAATTTGCTGTCATAAATACCTGAAGGTGGGAACAGAAATGAGATTTCCTCCGGTTCCTGTGGGAGGAAAAGATTGCCAAGCAGGGTGCGTTTTTTGGCAGAATCCCTCTCCTCTATGTATGCAAGGTTTGGCCCACATCTGCCGGTGTTGCTTGTCAGCATGGTGCCAGGGCTGCAAGGACGGCTGCAGTCGCCATACAGCAAAGCGGTGCGCTTCTGGTAAATGGTTCATGTGTGGTCATCCAAAAAGAGCTGCCCACATTTCCAAATTAAAGCACTGTCCCAAGCTCAGTGGCCGAAATTTAATATTTACAGCTAATTTAGACCACACACACACACAAAAAAGTGATGTGAGACTAATGAGTGAGCTGTGTTTGAAGAATGAACGGTTCAAATGTGGTAGGCCTCGTAAAGTGGCTGAAGATCATGGCTAACCATAAGACCTTGGTTTACCAGGGCAGAAGGTCAGTTGCCCTTATGCGGGAACTCCAGTAATGTGCTTGCGTGGAGTTTTTGCACGCTTGAGCTGAGGTATTTTTAGAGAAGAGTCTCAGGCACACATTTCCACTCATATTCCAGCAAAATACACTTCTTTTTGCACGTCTCCCCGGTTTTAGCGGTAATGAGTTCTTCCTGCGCCTTCCCCTCGTTCTCAAACACAACCCTAATTTTTCAGCAGCTTGTTCAGCAGATTTCCCTCAGGCAGGGCTACACGATGTCACGCATTAAACAGAAGAAGCAGCAGATGCATGTTTAACAGCAAGGCTCACTGTGTCGCTCATGAAGATTGAAGTAAGTATTCTTGAATTAATGGTGGGAAGTGTTTTGAAAAATCTGTTGTATAAACAAGGTCCAAGAGTATTATATTCTAAGGTAAATAATACCTTGTATACCTTTAGGAGGAACAAAGCCAAATGAAATTATAGTTGCACTTGAACCTTAAAGCATATTTTGACTGATTATATAAGGAACTATACGTAGAACCTGAGAAATATCCCTGTTGTCATTGACAAGGAGCCCCTGAAACTTGGAAGGTTTGTACAACAGCTCTGTCACAGCATATATCAAAATAACTTGAAGGAAGGTATGTTTACCCACATGATAAGTAGTAGAAGTGGATGCGATAAGTAAGATCGGTAGATTGTTCTGCCGAGTTTGGTATATTTACAATTTCAAAGGAATTTGATTCATATGGATCACATTGCAAGGATGTCACGCACATACTTAATTTCACGAGGCAGTGGGATGTTTTTGAAGAAGGAAGTCATGGTGATTCAACATGCCAGAAGAGTGTTGCCTTGGCTCTGACCCTGGCTGTCACAAAAAAACATGAAGTTACAAATAAATGGGTACTAACCCTGGTGTGTTCTTGGTGCCAGCAGCAAGCCTGCATTTTGGGGGTTCGACGGCTGCGGAGGGGTGTTGCACAGGGTGGGCACTCTTCCACAGCAATCCGCACAGAGCCTGCAGCTCACTTGGTCTTGGGTTGAGCTCCAACCAGTGGTAAAAGCCTTCCCAGGAGACCCAGAAGTTTGCCTCTAAAAAATCAAGCCTGTGGGGTGTTGTGCCACATGACCTTTTAAAGGAAAGGATTGCAAGAAGACAGCATTTTCTGAAAATGTGGTCCTGAGGAAGAAACAGAGTATTTTAGACTGTAAAGCAACTCCTAGTTTCAGGTGGAAGATGGTTGTTGGGCTGGGTTTTTCAGTGCCATTTCTAAGGCAAGCTTGTTTCTAGATAATTTAACACCGAAAAAAAAAAAGGTCAGTGACTTGCCTGTAAAATCTGAAGTGGGCTCCTGGGCCATGGGCAGGGTTGGGGGGGAGGCCCTGGAGGTTGGGCAGGGGCAGTCTGTCCCAGTGGTGCCCTCAGGGCCCTGATGTAGTCAATGGCTGTACCTGGGGTGTTGTTTCCAGTACTGGACCCTCCAGTTCAAGGTGGGTGTTGGGAAACTGATCTGGCAGTAAGATACCAAGATGGCAGCGGTCTACGACAAGAGGCTGAGGTATGTGGGCTTGGTGGAGAGAGGGAGGCTCAGGCTGACCTCATAGCAGCCAACACGTGCTTGGAGAGGACTCACAGAGACAATGGAGCCAAGGGCCGCTTCGTAGAAATGGCCAGAACAAGAAGAGGCGACAGGCACAGGTTATGTCTTGGGAATTTCAAGCTGGCCATCAATGAAAAAAATGTCACCAGGAGGTTGGTTGCCCAGAGAGGTGGCAGAGCTTCCACCCATGGGGGTTTTTGAGGCTCAGCTAGACAAGACCTCAACTGACCCGATCTAGTGTTGATGACCATCACAACTGGGCAGGAAGTTGGACTGCCTGTGACCTATGGGTGGATTTCATGGGCAACAGGATATAACTGAAGCTGGCTTGCACTTTTGCTTCCAAGTTTGGCAGTTCCTGTTAAATGCTGTGCCACGGAAAGGAGGTTCCTCCACCATACAGACCTAGGCCACCAGAGGCTTGTTGGCTTACCACAGAAACCATAACAGACACTTCCATGTGCATTCATTGCCTGAAAACAAATGCACTAGAACAGGCTGCCCAGGAGGTTGTGGAGCCTCCCACTCTGGAGACGTTCAAAACCCGCCTGGATGCTGTCCTGTGCAACCTGTTGTAGGTGACCCTGCTCTGGCGGGGGGTTGGACTAGATGATCTCCAGAGGGCCCTTCCAACCCCGACCATTCTGTGATTCTTTGATTCTGTGCACTGTTATCAAAGGAGAAGGGCCCAACCCTGCTGAGCTGCTGGTAATGAAGTGCTTTGTGCATTTGAACCTTTGCTGGTTGAGAAGACAGCCTGCTGCGTGCAAAGCTAGCAGTGGCCCCCAGCGCAGGGTAACACAGCCCAGCATGGGGTGACCAAAGCACTGGGTAGCCTGGACTTTGCAGTGCTCCATCCCGTAGCTGCATGCAGCACCACAGCAACCCATGTCTAGTAGCAGCACTTGACATACACAGAAAACTTTTTGTCCTGCTGAGCAACCAACCAGCCACTGTTTGCTCTCCAAGGAAGCTTTTTGGTTTCTGACTGTTTTGATTTTTCCTTGGGGTTTAAGGAAATGCTGTACTAATTGCCAAGACTTCCTAAGCGGCTCCCGGGGCTATTGCATGCCCTTGAAATCCAGAGGGATTGCTAATGCTGGCTTAATGCCTGTGGAGCTCCTGGGTTGGGCCTTCTGCTTCCGTCTTGCTGAGGGGAGATGACGTGCACCCTGCTCACCCCTGCATGGGTCTCGCACCTCACGGAGGCTCCACTGCGACAATGGAAATAAGTGGGAGGGGAGGACTGGAAAGAGTGATAGTAAGCGGGGTGTGGCAGATGGTACCACCACTTTTTTGGAGGCACGTACAATTTGAACTCATCGCTCCATCTCACTTGGCTTAGAGGCCGCCGCGGGCAAGGGGTTTCGTCCCACCTGTGGGAGCTGGGGCTGGGGCTTGGCCAAGTGAGCAGCTCACCTCCTCCCCTGAGAGAAGCACAGCCTCTTCATTTTTGCAGCAAGAGATAGGAGTTGAACAACTCTGCTTGGCACCGTGACCCGCTCTTGGTTCGTGTGCACGGTCTGAACATCAGCTAGGGCTTTGAAACAAACTGCTTTCAGTAAGTTAAGGCAATGCTTACAGAGAAATGAGCAGTGCCCCAGGGAAGAATGAGGCATTACAAATGCCACATTTCCTGCTGCCAAGCAACTGCTTCCTCATCCAGAGAGGAGGTATTTCGAATGACTCCTTCCATTCAGGACACTCCTGACTTAGGCAACTCACAGGCATGGCTCTGCCAGGAACCAGCACCGCACGAAAACGCTTCGTAAGATACCCTGGTGGGTGTGGAGCTACTCCAGCTGCCTGCCAAGGTGAGAGCATCTCGTGCTGCTGGCCATCCATGGCCTGGATGCTGTGAAGAGGGGGTGAGCGGGAGTATGCTGGCTTGGTTGCTTTTCAGGACAAATAACCACAGATCCCTGCCCTCAGTCAATGCCACCATACCAAGGAGGCTACCACACATGACATCCATGCTTTGGGTCCACTCCCCTGCAGCACATGAGCCAGGTCTCCAGTGTTGGGCAGGACCACCTCCTTCCTACAAATCCTACTGGTCTAGGAAGGTTCTCCCTTCCCACCACGGAGTGATTTCAGTTACGCTGCCGGCTGGTGGGGATGCGGCATGGCATAATCTGACCTGTAGTCTGTAGACTGTGTACATCTATATGTATATAGACACACACCCCCACACAGACAGATGGGAGAAGCTGTCGCGCCACCCCTGCAGAAAGAAATGTTGCTTGAAGACACTGGCATGCAAGTTTCTGTTTTCTCACTTAGACATGTGCAACCAAACACATATCCTGTAGGCGGGAAGGTATTCTGTCAGTATTTTCCTTGTTCTCTGAATCTGTTTTTAATATATGGATAAACTATTTTATCCCTGGTTCAATATTTGCGCTATTGATTTCCTTGCCCTTACCCTTTATTTTTTGCAGCCCTTTTTTGCTTGATTTTTCCTCGTACCTTTTCATATTGTTTGCTTTAGGTGTAGTCTGTGGATATGTGTCCACACTGCAATCAGTCAGTGTGGTCATACATGCACACTCGAAGCTAGTTCATGGGTCAGTGGCAGTAGGGTGGATACGGCCGCAGAGTAACTGCACCCACCCCGTTGGACCGTTTCCAAGCACACTCTGCGGGTGGCAGGATCACATGGTGGTGTTGGTGGGGTGTACCTTCTCCCCAAGATGGGGAGAAGGTACTTTTTCCATGGAGAAAGTAAGCTGGCGTAGCTGTTGACTGTGTCCTCTACCCCAAGGACAGGGGACACAAGGGAAGCTAGCAAGAGGCAGTTTCAAAGCCAGAGGAGCTTCCTTCTCCTACAGTGTGTCATTCAGCTGAGGAACATGGGATCCCATGGGATGCAGCAGACGCTGGTGGGTTCCTCGGGTACAAAAAGGAGGAAACTTTATTTTAAAAAACGGTGCTGTCTGGAAGAAGTGAAACGCTGGAGATTTATCTTTTTTTTGTCATTTCTTGCGCAAAATTCTAAAGTATTTTGCTGAGAAGGAGAAGTACCTTATCCTGAGTCATTTTAGTCCAATACATAACGTAATCTTTTCAGCACTGAAGCATGCTTATTTCAGTGTTTCCAGTGCAACAGTTGTACAAGAGTTGAGGGTCAAGTGGTTGTAGTACTGAAATCCCAAGTTCAACTGTTACGCATAGTTGCTCCCTACATCTAGACTGATTCTGCAATTTTGCCTCTTGCGTCTCAGCCAATGAAGGAGAAAGGGATCTTGAAAAATAACCAGAAAAGAGACTTTAACATTATAGCATTTTGGCTTTCTGTTAAAGCAGCTCTGTATTTTTCTAAGATGGCCTGACCTAAAACCTCAATTTCCTGTGATGACCACAGGACTTCTCTTTCAGGGCAGGGAAAGTGCCACACAAGAGCATTTTGCCTGAGTAGGGATCACAAGACCATAAACCTGCCCCTGATATATGTGTAGTTGTGGTCCCTGTTTTATCTTTGTCTTTGCATTCTTCAGGAGCAGACTCCCTGGGTGGTGCTGGGTTGGCCACAGAGCAATATGGTTTTCATTCCTTCTGGAGGTAAATGCCTAAAGCTAGTCACCTACATCCTTCAGATCCAAAACCCCTCTTTCAAAGTTCAGTGCGAAGGAAACAATGGAATTTCTATAATAATTTTGTTGGCATCCACCACTTATTTGGTATTTGCCTACGAGAAACTCACTACCAGGTGGCTGGGGCCAGATGACTTGGAATCAGTTAAGATCTGGGCTTGGCCATCTTGCATCAAGCGCTGACATCAAATTGCCTGCCACAAGTTGGCTCATGTTAGATTAGAAGAGCATCTGCCTCCTGGAAACATGGGATGCCCTCAGGGCGTAGCTGACAGGCCACTGTTACGGCCCATGGTTGGTGTACATGAGTGAGAAGTGATCAGATCAACGCTCCTTTCAGAGTAACAGCAGCACAACATGTCAGGGTCATTACGTGGATGAGATGTGTCTCACTACTGGGAAATTCTTAATGACTAAGAGATAAGCGTAATGAAATGGTGAGGGAAGGACCAACATAGCACCTTGAATAAGGTCCAGCTCAAAAGAGATGGACCAGACCCTCGGCTGTTCTCCATCTGTGTGTTTTTTATTTTTTATCCTCCCAAGACTTCTCACTACTTATTGTTCCCTAGGCTGTGATTCAGGAAGGACTCAACATGTAACGAGATGGTACATGTGGGAACAGTCCTGCTGTGGTCAGTGGAAGACAACTTCTCGCCATGGTGCCCTTCAGGACCCAGACATGGGCTGTACGTGTGTGTACCTTGGTAGATTCACTTCTCACCTCACCTTGGCACCTCAGAGCAACTTTGCAGGGCAACTGGAAGGATTAGTTCACCATTCCAGAGTGCCGAAAAGGAAACCTGTGGTGCTTTTGATCAGTGTTTTATTTCGACTGTTACTCTGGCTGGACATATTTAAAAGAAAGACAAAACAGAAGCAATGTGAAACCTTAGATGGTTATAAAAAATGTAGGTCGGTGTATTACTATTATAAAAGGCAACTTCTCCATAACTAGACAAGGGCTCGCAAGTGAGTAAAACTGTAAAGCTAAGGATTGGGTTGCGCTTCATGTCCTTCCTACTTGGCATCGATATCTGTGGTCATGCTCTGGAAGTCTGACTTGTTCTTGTCGGTTTTGATACAAAAAATAAACAAAACCTGAGACAAAGGGCAAGCTTGTAAATAGGGGAGCAGCCACTGGGGAATTCTGATTTTATTTGTTTGCGTTTTATTACCTGCTTATGCCAGCTAATAAGGTGACTTACCTTGCAGCAGATAGATAGATGCAGATAAGGCTGATAGCCTCTGGTGTCCGATTTTGCAAGCTGGGAAGTGAGTCGCTGAATTTATTGGTTGTAGGCTGGAGATTTCCTGTGAAAAAGATATCTCCTGCATCTGTTAATTGGATGAGTATACTTTTATGAGATGGATTGCGGTGATTAACTGTTGCAACTGTTTGGGGAAAAAAAAAAAAAAAAAAAAAAAGGGCTGGTATTTTTCATAGCTTCTCCAAGGAGGAGGAAAAAAGCCATTCTACTGAACCACAGCCAGTCATTCAGGCCACTCTGGCCAGCAAAGACAAAAGGAGATTTGCCTGTAGGAGGGACAGAGATCACCTGTCAATATGAAACAAGCTGAAACCTTGTCTTTGAAAAACGTTCCTGCAGTTTAAGTTGAAATCCCTTTTCTCAGACCTTGCCAACAACTGTCTCGAAGAGAATTATGGTTCAATGGCCTTTTCTGGCAGGGCAAGCTTGTATGAGCCAAGGGAGCAAGCTCATGTAGGAGCGTTGTACCATATGCCAAGTTTAGTGCCCTCGAATTGAGACACTACCAGTTCATAGAAAAAGATACTGGGAGCAGGCAAGACCAGCAGCTGCACAAAGTGAAAAGAGAACTGACCTGAAAGCTAGATGCTGTCTACTGGCATAAACCAAAAAAATTCCTGTAGACAGTGAAAAGGTCAGCCACCTTCCAAGACGAAGTAGGTTCATGGCAGGGCAGAACCCACACCCATCTAACTTCTACATGCTTTCCTCGAACTCTCAGGTTCAAAGCGAGGGTCAGAACATGCACACTGTTGAAATCAGCCTTTTGCAAAACCCCATAGTACTGGAAATGTGACTGTTCCTGGTGCATACATGCCCTGCCTCCACCACTGACCCTCCAGCACGCACCTACATAAAATTTTTTCAGGAGCAAAGTGTTACCAAAATCAACCCATTCCTGTTTGCAAAAATCTGTAGTTCTTGCTGTAGGACTACTGTGTCAACAGAATTTAGGCTGCCTCCAACCAGACGTGGAATGATATATATATAAAACAGGCTCCGGCTGGATTAGAAAACTACTCTCAATGCCTTCAAATGAAGTGGATTACTCTGTTGCTGTCATTAGGTGGAAACCAGTAATATACATTGTAAATGTTCAGATTACAGGTATTATTGGTTCTGTTATTGTACCGACATTCCACATATGCTTTACTTCATCCCATGCTGGTTCTAAACAAAAATGTCTTTCACCTTCCAGGAGGAAAGAAATGCAGAGTAAAAGAAATGCTGAAAGGTAAATTGGGGTTGTAGTGGTTTTTTCAATACTGAAATATGTACTTGCCAGCACATTGTCAGGTGCTGAATGGTGAGTGATGCTCCGTCTACTAAGAACGTTGGCGGTTCAGATGTTCATACAGATGTCCTGTGAGATTATAGATGTGTACTGAACCCTCGGTGCCCTGGGATGCGCTAGTCATGCTCTCAAGTAAGGACACCCAATGTACACCTGCCAGCGAGCAGTGACATGCCCGGAGGGTGGGATCTGCTAACTCAGCACCTAGCTTTCACCGACATTTCAGCACCAAATGAAACAGTACTCCTGAAGTAAATACCTGCTACCTGAATTGATGGAGAAAAGTGGGTGCATTTGAAGGCTTCTGCGGGGAGATCTTGTGTTTAGGGAGATCCTATATTTAGATGTGCCAGTCTTGCAGACTGAATCCCACCTTGCTGGACCCTGGATTGCTGCCGTGAAAGGAGGCATCGGGGGCTGAGGCTGCTCCCGTGGCTGAGCCCCCTGTATATTTTGGTTATTTGGGGACGTTTGTATCTCTTTCTGGCCACTGTGCCCATGTCACTGTTGGCCTATGCCACCAGCTCTCCCCTCCGTGGGGTAGACTCATCTCTCCATCTTTGGTCACTCGAGGACCAGGGTGGCAGTGGGGCACATGGGGGTTTAGCCACCTCCTGGACAGAGACCTTTAATACAGCTGTCAGCAAAGAACAGCC